TGCCATATGGAAAATGTGGTGCCATGCAAGCAGTCCTGCTGGAAGCCATGCAGCAGAGCAATTCACAGATGTGGACAACAGTTGTGTATCACCTTGACATGGTGGAGTGCCTCTTCTGGACCCGGGAAACAAGCACTGACTGGTGGGATGCACAGTTATGCAGCTATGGGATGATGAGCAGTCACTGCAGAACTTTCAAATGTGCAAGGCCATTTTCATGGAACTGTGTGAAGAGCTTTCCCCAGCCCTGAAGCACAGCGATACTAAAAAGAGAGTTGCTCTGGCAGTTGAGAAATGAGTGGTGATAGCTCTGTGGAAGCTTGCAACACCAGACTGCTACTGGTCAGTGTGGAATCAATTTAGAGTCAGTAAATCTTTCATGGGGTCTGCTGTGATCCAAGTTGCCAGGGCAATCAATAGACTTCTGCTCAGAAGGGTAGTGACTCTGTGAAATGTACAGGACATAGTGGATGCTTTTGCCATGATGGGGTTCCCTAACTGCGGTGGGGTGATAGACAGAATGCATATCCCTAATTCGGCAGCAGACCACCTTGCCAAAGAGTACATAAATTGAAAGGGGTACTTCTTAATGGTGTTGCAAGTGCTGGTGGATCACAGGAGCCATTTCACCAACATCAGCATAGGATGGTCAGGAAAGGTGCATGATGCACGCATCTTTAGAAACTCTTGTTTGTTCAGAAAGCTGCAAGAAGGAAATTTCTTTCCAGACTGCAAAATAACCCTGGGTGATGATGAAATGCCAATTGTGATCCTGAGAGATCCAGCCTACCCTTTGCTCCCATGGCTCATGAAGCTGTACAGAGGCAGCCTGGACAGCAGTAAGGAGTGGTTCAACCATAGGTTGAACAAGGCAGAATGGTGGTAGAATGTGCCTTTGGATGTTTAAAAGCCCATTGGCGTAGTTTGCTTACTAGATTAGACCTCAGTGAAAGCAATATCCCTATTATTGTTGCTGCGTGCTGTGTGCTCCATAATATCCATGAAACAAAGGGAGAAAAGTTTCTGGCAGTGTGGGGGGTGAAGGCAGATCACCTGGCAGCCAGTTTTGAGCAGCCAGACACCAGGGCAGTAAGAAGATCACATCGAGGTGCACTGCGTCTCCGTGAGGCTTTGAAAACTAGTTTAATCAATGACCCACAGTAATGTGACACTTACGTGTGTTGTTCCTTACCTAGCTGTCCCCTTCATTGCATGTACTCCCCTGTAAATTACACCCCCGCTAACCACAGTGTGCTGAATGAATAAAGAGCCTTTTCTCCTCAATCCATTGATTTTTATTATGCTCACAAACTTTGAGAAACAGCAAAGAAAAGTAAGACAACCTGGGGCAGAAGGGCTGATAACACTGGGGGGGGAGGAGGAACAAGGACAGCTTGCTTACAATTGCACTGCAGTAACAATCAGAAGTGTGGGAATGGGCACCTTCTCGTCCTTGCACCCTCCCCTGGAGTTGAGTGCAAGGGATACTGGACTTTCCGCCCCCATATCCTAGGACGTCTGAGAGAGGAGGATGTGGAACTTGGCAACAATGGCAGCAGGTTCAGCACAGGCTGCAGAGGGACTGTAGTGTCCAGCTCCCTTTCTTGAACCTCAACCGGTTTGCTCCCTCATAATCTGTACCATCTTGTCCTGTGTGTCACGCATGTGTTCCCTGCATGCTATTCTGTCCTCGCAGTCATTGTGTAGGCTCTCTGACAGCACAATCCTCCATGCACTGAGCTCCATCTTGTCACTCTCGGAGGCACGCATTAACTCATTGAACATGTCCTCCCAAGTCTTCTTTTCCACCTTCTAATCTGGGAAACTCTCTGTTTCAGCATGGAGGATGTGCCTACGGACAAGGTTTCAGCTGCAAAGAATACAAAGCACAAGGGTAATATTGACAGTGCATACATTGTTTCTGGTGCAAGGTTAAATCTTTTTATAAAAGAAAAAACCCTCAGTGCACTTCCCTGCAAGCCACAACTTAAGCAGAACTGCTGGTTACTGCAAGAGTTGGTTTGCTGCTACAGCCCTAGTGAATCAGGCCACGAGGCCTGGGCGAGAGGTTTTGTGCTGTAGCTTTTGTTAAGACATCCTTGGGATCACTGGTTGCAACCTCAGCACAACCCCCTTTCCCATAGCAACCTGGATGGTGCTTGAAGACAGGCACCAGCGTAAAGACCCACAAATAGTTTGATTGTTACAAAAGTGGCACCGGGTTGGGGTGGAAGGGAGATGAACAGGGAGATGAACAGCGTCGTGCCTCCCACCCCTGCAATACGCAGTGATCCCTTCCAAGCACAACCAGGGCACGCTCAGGAAAGTGTGGTTGTTTGACCAGAATTCACCTAACAGGGGCAGATTACTTATCAAATTGCTTGCAGTTTAAGGGCTAGCATTTAAAACCTTCCCATTTCCCCTAGGTGACCATATGCGATACCGCTCTCCTGAGGGTGACAGAGGCAGAAAGGGAGCAGATGCTGCAAGCGTCTGGGTACAGACCTGGTCCTTATGCTGCAATGCTGTGTGCCACAATGATGCCAGCAGAGTTAATACTGGAGTGGCATGGAAAAGTGTCCTTTCGTGGTGGAAGAAATAAGGCAGCTCTTCCCAGAAACCTTCTGCAAAGGATTGCAGAGTACCTCAACGAAAGCTTCCTAGAGATCTCAAGGGAGGATTCCTGGGCCATCCCCAGGCACACAAACAGTCTTTTCCAGAGAGCACCCTCTGTGTACCTGGAGTGGCCGCCGATAACGTCTATCCCAATTTTTTAATTCAAATTCAACATTAAAAATAATAGCATGTAACCCCTACAGTCTGATTGAAAATGTGTACTCACCAGAGGTGCCTTCCCCGGCATCACACTCAGCCGAAAATTGGTCCTGTGAGGGGATGGGCTCCAGAGTTTTTAAAAGTTCTTGGCTGTCGGGGAAAATGGATCCTCCATTTGCCTGCCATGCATTCTCCTCCTCCCCCTGTTCATCGTCAACAATGTCCTTCTAGTTGTTGCCCGAGGTCTCCTGGGGCTCCTGGGAGGTATCCACGGAGCATTTTGGGGTAGTGGTGGGGTTGCCGCCTAGAATTGCATGCAGCTCCTCATAGAAGCGGCATGTCTGTGGCTCAGAACCAGAGCGACTGTTCACCTCCCTTGTCTTCTGGTAAGCTTGTCAAAACTCTTTTTTCACGTGGCACTGCTGTGCCCCCCGGTGTAGCCCTTCTCCCCCATGCCCCACGCAATCTTGGCAAAGATGTTAGTGTTTCTTCTGCTGGTTCAGAGTTCTGCCTGCACAGACTCTTCTCCCCAAACAGAAATAAGATCCACTACCTCCTGTGTGCTCCATGCTGGAGCATGTTTGCGGCCTTGAGCATCCATTGTCAGCTGTGCTGACGAGCTCTCCGTGCCGATAAAACAGGAAATGAAAATTCAAATGTTCCCGCGGCTTTAACAGGGGGGCGGCTGTTTCCTGTGTACCTGGCTGAAGTGCAGTGGAGTTGAAAGTGCTCTCCAGAGCGGTCACAGCAGAGCACTGGGGGACACCTCCTGAAGACCAATTCATTCAAATTACACAGCGCAGTGTCTACACTATCCCCATGTTGATGTGTGGACGTCAACTGAACCACTACGCCTCTCGCGGAGGTGGAATACAGAAGTCGACTTTACAAGCCCTTTAGATTGGCGGAAGGGACTCAGTAGTGTAGACACATTATTAACTCAACCTAACACAGTATGTGTCGACCTAACTTTGTAGTGTAGACCAAGCCCCACTCTACTAGGTTGCAGTCAACATCTGTGACCTTACTGAAGGACTTTCCAGTATCTGAAATCTGCATGACTGCTATGGGTCTTCAGTACATACCTTCTCCAAACACTATGCCTTGGTCCATGCCTGTAGATCTGACATGGCAGTGGGCAGTGCAGTTCTGACTTCTCTACTGGTCTCTGTTCTGAAGCTCCCTCCTCCCAGGGATAGTCACTGAAGTGGAGCACCCAAAGCAACACTACTTGAAGAAGAAGAAAGAGAGGTTACTCACCCTTTGCAGTAATTGTAGTTCTTCAAGATGTGTGTCCCTATGGCTGCTCCACTACCCGCCCTCCTTCACCTCTGCTTCAGAGTTTCTTGGTGGGACTTCACAGTAGTAAAGAAACCGGGGGCAGTTCACCCACCCAGCCCTATAGAGCTTCAGCACGGGACATGAGGATGTTTAGAGTGCATGTGTGAGCCGAATGGATGTTGCTAATGAAAATCTCTGATTGAGGGCACTTGGGGCATATGCACACTTGAAGTGGATCACTCACAGGGACATACATCTTGAAGAAATACATTTACTGCACAAGGGTGAGTAACCTTTCCTTCTGCAATTTCCTATTTGAGTTCCTTCAGAACTCTTGGGTGAATACCATCTGGTCCTGGTGACTTATTACTGTTTGATATATCAGTTTGTTCTAAAACATCTTCTATTGACACATCAGTGTGAAGCAGTATTTCGGAATTGTCATCCAAAAAGAATAGCTGTGATGTGGGCATCTCCCACATCCTCTGAGGTGAAGACTGATGCATAGAATTCATTTAGCTTCTCTGCAATGACCTTGTCTTCCTTGAGTGCTCCTTTAGCACCTTTGCCATTGCTTGGCAGGCTTCCTGCTTCTGATGTGCTTAAAAAAATTCTTACTGTTAGTTTTTGCATCTCTAGCAAGTTGCTTCTCAAATTCTTTCTTGGCTGGCCTTATTATATTTTTACACTTAATCTGCCAAAATTTGTGCTCTTTCCTATTATCCTCACTAGGTTTTGACTTCCAGATTTTAAAGGATGAGGGTTTTTTGCCTCTCATGGCCTCCATTACTCTACTGTTTACCCATGGGGGCATTTTTTTGGTCTTCCTCCTGTCTTTTCTGATTTGGAGTATACATTTAGTCTCAGACTCTATTATGGAGTTTTTAAATGGCTCCTAGGCTGCTTGTGGGCATTTAACTCTTGTGACAGCTCCTGTTAATTTCCACCTAACAAACAGCCTCATTTTTGAGTAGTTCCCCTTTTTAAAGTTAAATGTTACTGTGGTGGGGTTTTTTGGTATTAATCCCCCCAGAAGGATTTTGAATTTAATTACATTATGGACTCTGTTACGGAGCAGTTCGGCTATGGTTACCTCTTGGATCAGATCCTGTACTCCATTTAGGACTAAATCAAGAATTGCCTCTCCCCTTGTGGATTGCAGGACTAGCTGCTCCAAGAGGCAGTCATTTATGGTGTCTAGAAATGTTATCTCGCCATCACACCCTGAAGTGACATTTACCCGGTCAATATGAGGATAGTGGAAATCACTTCTGATTATTGGACTTTCTACTTTTGTAGCCTCTCTAACCTCCCTCAGCATTTCCTGGTGAGGTGGTCAGTAATATAATCCTATTGCTGTACTCTTTTTATTCACACATGGCATTTCTAACCATAGCCCTGGTCTACACTAGGACTTTAGGTTGAATTTAGCAGCATTAAATCGATGTAAACCTGCACCCGTCCACACAATGAAGCCCTTTATTTCGACTTAAAGGGCTCTTAAAATCGATTTCCTTACTCCACCCCTGACAATTGGATTAGCGCTTAAATCGGCCTTGCCGGCTCGAATTTGGGGTACTGTGGACACAATTCGACGGTATTGGCCTCCGGGAGCTATCCCAGAGTGCTCCATTGTGACCGCTCTGGACAGCACTCTCAACTCAGATGCACTGGCCAGGTAGACAGGAAAAGAACCGCGAACTTTTGAATCTCATTTCCTGTTTGGCCAGTGTGGCAAGCTGCAGGTGACCATGCAGAGCTCATCAGCAGAGGTGACCATGATGGAGTCCCAGAATCGCAAAAGAGCTCCAGCATGGACCGAATGGGAGGTACGGGATCTGATCGCTGTTTGGGGAGAGGAATCTGTGCTATCAGAACTCCGTTCCAGTTTTCGAAATGCCAAAACCTTTGTGAAAATCTCCCAGTGCATGAAGGACAGAGGCCATAACAGGGACCCGAAGCAGTGCCATGTGAAACTGAAGGAGCTGAGGCAAGCCTACCAGAAAACCAGAGAGGCGAACGGCCGCTCCGGGCCAGAGCCCCAAACATGCCGCTTCTATGATGAGCTGCATGCCATTTTAGGGGGTTCATCCACCACTACCCCAATCGTGTGCTTTGACTCCTTCAATGGAGATGGAGGCAATATGGAAGCAGGTTTTGGGGATGAAGAAGATGATGATGATGAGGAGGTTGTAGATAGCTCACAGCAAGCAAGCAGAGAAACCGGTTTTCCCGACAGCCAGGAACTGTTTCTCACCCTGGACCTGGAGCCAGTACCCCCCGAACCCACCCAAGGCTGCCTCCTGGACCCAGCAGGCGGAGAAGGGACCTCTGGTGAGTGTACCTTTTAAAATACTATACATGGTTTAAAAGCAAGCATGTGAAAGGATTACTATGCCCTGGCATTCGCGGTTCTCCTGGATGTACTCTCAAAGCCTTTGCAAAAGGTTTCTGGGGAGGGCAGCCTTATTGCATCCTTCATGGTAGGACAGTTTACCGCTCCAGGCCAGTAACACGTACTCGGGAATCATTGTAGAACAAAGCATTGCAGTGTATGTTTGCTGGCATTCAAACAACATCCGTTTTTTATCTCTCTGTGTTATCCTCAGGAGAGTGAGATATAATTCATGGTCACCTGGTTGAAATAGAGTGCTTTTCTTCAGGGGACACTCAGAGGAGCCCATTCCTGCTGGGCTGTTTGCCTGTGGCTAAACAGAAATGTTCCCCGCTGTTAGCCACGGGGAGGTGGGAGGGTTGAGGGGGTAGCCACGTGGTGGGGGGAGGCAAAATGCGACCTTATAACAAAAACACATGTGCTATGTATGTAATGTTAACAGCAAGGTTTACCCTGAAAGAGTGTAGCCACTGTTTTATAAAATGTGTCTTTTTAAATACCGCTGTCCCTTTTTTTTTCTCCACCAGCTGCATGTGTTTCAATGATCACAGGATCTTCTCCTTCCCAGAGGCTAGTGAAGCTTAGAAAGAAAAAAAAACGCACTCACGATGAAATGTTCTCCGAGCTCATGCTGCCTTCCCACACTGACAGAGCACAGACGAATGCGTGGAGGCAAATAATGTCAGAGTGCAGGAAAGCACAAAATGACCGGGAGGAGAGGTGGCGGGCTGAAGAGAGTAAGTGGCGGGCTGAAGAGAGTAAGTGGCGGGCTGAAGACAGGGCTGAAGCTCAAATGTGGCGGCAGTGTGATGAGAGGAGGCAGGATTCAATGCTGAGGCTGCTGGAGGACCAAACCAGTATGCTCCAGTGTATGGTTGAGCTGCAGCAAAGGCAGCGGGAGCACAGACTGCCACTGCAGCCCCTCTGTAACCAACCGCCCTCCTCCCCAAGTTGCACAGCCTCCACACCCAGACGCCCAAAAACGCGGTGGGGGGGCCTCCAGCCAACCAGCCACTCCACCACAGAGGATTGCCCAAAAAAAAGAAGGCTGTCATTCAATAAATTTTAAAGTTGTAAACTTTTAAAGTGCTGTGCTTAAAGTGCTGTGTGGCATTTTCCTTCCCTCCTCCACCACTCCTCCTGGGCTACCTCGGTAGTCATCCCCCTATTTGTGTGATGAATGAATAAAGAATGCATGAATGTGAAGCAACAATGACTTTATTGCCTCTGCAAGCGGTGATTGAAGGGAGGAGTGGCGGGTGGTTAGCTTACAGGGAAGTAGAGTGAACCAAGGGGCGGGGGGGTTTCATCAAGGAGAAACAAAGAGAACTTTCACACCGTAGCCTGGCCAGTCATGAAACTGGTTTTCAAAGCTTCTCTGATGCATACCGCGCCCTCCTGTGCTCTTCTAACCACTCTGGTGTCTGGCTGCACGTAACCAGCAGCCAGGCGATTTGCCTCAACCTCCCACCCCGCCATAAACGTCTCCCCCTTACTCTCACAGATATTGTGGAGCACACAGCAAGCAGTAATAACGGTGGGAATATTGGTTTTGCTGAGGTCTAAGCGAGTCAGTAAACTGCACCAGCGCGCCTTTAAACATCCAAATGCACATTCTGCCACCATTCTGCACTTGCTCAGCCTGTAGTTGAACAGCTCCTGACTACTGTCCAGGGTGCCTGTGTATGGCTTCATGAGCCATGGCATTAAGGGGTAGACTGGGTCCCCAAGGATACATATAGGCATTTCAACATCCCCAACAGTTATTTTCTGGTCTGGGAATAAAGTTCCTTCCTGCAGCTTTTGAAACAGACCAGAGTTCCTGAAGATGCAAGCGTCATGTACCTTTCCCGGCCATCCCACGTTGAAGTTGGTGAAACGTCCCTTGTGATCCACCAGAGCTTGCAGCACTATCGAAAAGTACCCCTTGCAGTTTATGTACTCGGCGGCTTGGTGCTCCGGTGCCAAGATAGGGATATGGGTTCAGTCTATGGCCCCACCACAGTTAGGGAATCCCATTGCAGCAAAGCCATCCACTATGACCTGCACATTTCCCAGGGTCACTACCCTTGATATCAGCAGATCTTTGATTGCGTGGGCTACTTGCATCACAACAGCCCCCACAGTAGATTTGCCCACTCCAAATTAATTCCCAACTGACCGGTAGCTGTCTGGCGTTGCAAGCTTCCACAGGGCTATCGCCACTCACTTCTCAACTGTGAGGGCTGCTCTCATCTTGGTATTCATGCGCCTCAGGGCAGGGGAAAGCAAGTCACAAAGTTCCATGAAAGTGCCCTTACGCATGCGAAAGTTTCGCAGCCACTGGGAATCGTCCCAGACCTGCAACACTATGTGGTCCCACCAGTCTGTGCTTGTTTCCCAAGCCCAGAATCGGCGTTCCACAGCATGAACCTGCCCCATTAGCACCATGATGCATGCATTGGCAGGGCCCATGCTTTCAGAGAAATCTGTGTCCATGTCCTGATCACTCACGTGACCGCGCTGACGTCGCCTCCTCGCCCGGTATCGCTTTGCCCGGTTCTGGTGCTGCATATACTGCTGGATAATGCGTGTGGTGTTTAATGTGCTCCTAATTGCCCAAGCGAGCTGAGCGGCCTCCATGCTTGCCTTGGTATGGCGTCCGCACAGAAAAAAGGCGCGGAAGGATTGTCTGCCGTTGCTCTGATGGAGGGAGGGGCGACTGACGACACGGCTTACAGGGTTGGCTTCAGGGAGCTAAAATCAACAAAGGGGGTGTCTTTACATCAAGGAGTATTTCAGGCAGGACTTCACGGAGGGTTCCAATAAGAAATGGTGCACCTAAGTTATTGTTCTTATTGGAACGAGGAGGTTAGCCTGGCCTCTGATTGATACATGGTTAGATTTACCTTGCTGCACCTTCTCTGTGAGTGACTGCAGTGTGACCTAGAGGAATGAGTCCCCTAGACAGGGGAGGAGGCAAATGAGTACAAAACAAATCTGGTCTATTTCTTGTTTTGATCCACTCCATCTATCTTTTACATCTTTGGCTGGCATCAGACGGTGCAGAAGGACTGCATGCCATCCACATCTCATGGCTGCTCGGCAGAAGATGGTACAGTACGACTGCTAGCCATCCTCATCTCTTGCTTGCCTGGCAGAAGATGGTACAGTACGACTGCTAGCAATCCGTATCGCCTGCCTGCTCGCCATAAGACGGTTCAATAGGACTGACTGCAGGACTAAAGAGAATGACCTGGTCAAGTCACTCCAGTCACTCCACTTAGTCCCTGTGCCCATGTCTGCCCAGGCGCTCCCAGCCGACGTGGCCAGGAGCACCTCGGACACGACGAGGACGGCTACCAGTCGTACTGCACCGTCTGCTGCCAGAAGGGAAGGGGTTGCTGCTACTGTGTAGCAAAGCCGTACCACGTCTGACAGCACCCAGGAGACATAGGGTGATGGTTACCTGAGCGGGCTCCATGCTTGCTGTGGTATGGTGTCTGCACAGGTAACTCAGGAAAAAAGGCGCGAAACGATTGTCTGCCCTTGCTTTCACGGAGGGAGGGAGGGAGGGAACGGGGGCCTGACGATATGTACCCAGAACCACCCGCGACAATGTTTTAGCCCCATCAGGCATTGGGATCTCAACCCAGAATTCCAATGGGCAGCGGAGACTGCGGGAACTGTGGGATAGCTATCCACAGTGCAATGCTCCGGAAGTCGACTCTAGCCTCGGTACTGTGGAAGCACTCCGCCGAGTTAATGCACTTAATGCACTTAGAGCATTTTCTGTGGGGACACACACACTCGAATATATAAAACCGATTTCTAAAAAACCGACTTCTATAAATTCGACCTTATTCCGTAGTGTAGACATACCCATAGCGATCCTATGGTACACTTTGTTTCATTTAAGATTTTTTTCCTGATTTTGACTATATGCTTCCTTTTATATATAGTGTCACTCCCACCAGGGTGACCTACTCTCTCATTCCAATAATATTTTATACCCTGGTATTACTGCCCCCCATTGATTATCCTCATTCCACCAAGTTTCTGTGATGCCTATTATATCAATATCCTCATTTAGTGCCAGGCAGTCTAGTTCACCTCGAGTAGTATTTAGACTTCTAGCATTTGTATATAAGCACAGGTACATTTTGGTCAATATTCAGTTGTTTGCCTTCATGTGTTATTTTTAAATGGGACTTCAGTTTGTTTGACTGTTCCTCACTAGCTCCTACCTGTACTTTACCAAGTTTTTTTCTGTCCTCTTTACTAGGATATAGAGTTCTCTCTTTAGTAAATTCATTCCTAACAGACTTCTCTCCCTGAACCATGTGCTCCTCCACACCTTTTTGGCTTTCCCCCAGCCCTTTGTTTAAAAAACCTTCTGCAACCTTTTTGATTTTATGTTCCATTGTGACTCCCATATGGGCCAGTCCTTCATCAGAAGATGCCCCAGTTCCTAATAAACCTAAATCCCTACACTGTTGTCTCGTCCACACGTTGAAACACTGCAGTTCTGTGTGTCTTACTAGCCCTGCACATGGAACTGGAAGCATTTCAGAAATGCTATCGTGGAAGTCCTGAACTTTAATCTCTTATCTAGCAGCCTAAATTTGGCCTCCAAGACCTCTCTCCTACTTTTCCCTATGTCTGGTACTTACATGTACCACCTACATATGTCAAGACCTCTGGCTCCTCCCCAACACTACCTATAAGGCTGTCTAGATGAAATTTTAGTAGCTCTCAGCTTATATATATAAATATATACATTATCTCTAAAAGCAATTTGATTACTCTAGGATGCACTGTGCAGCAAAGTATAATGAAAAATGGAAAAGCCCACAGTATCCAATTAAAAGACTGCTTCACTTTATTGTTTATTGGACAAACTCATTCTTAATGGAACCACCATAGGAAAACCAGTCATAGTACAGACACACTACATAGAGCTGGTTATGTTTTCAAATTCCTAGTGATTAAGCCATTTAGGATGAGCCAAAAAAAAAACAACCTAACCCCTCCAGGACAATGCCTCCATTCACTGATAGCATTGTGTAAGTCTGTTTGTTCAAAATAGCCCTCTTTTCCTTCCTATCTGACTGCATCTAGGCAACTGTGTTCAGTAAATTGTTCAGTTTCAGGAAAGAGAGTGACTAAGTAAAGGTCAGGCTCTGTTATGTCACTTTGTGACCCAGGAGATTAAGAATTTTTTAAAACTGAGTGTGAACGGAAGTGGGAGGGAGTGTGTTTGCACATTTGCTACTGATATGACCCAGCAATGGCCCCTAAACACGCCCACTAGGCTAATTATTCTTCCTTAGCAGGAGTGGCTTGAACAAGTAAGTCACATTACAGCTTACATTTATTATGGCAAAGCTAAATATCCAAGTATTCCAGAACCATACATATTGCCCCACAGCCCAAGCAAAAAATGGGCACACATGTATATGCACCTGTATTCTGGTAACACGTTTGGTTGTCTCCAGACTTTGCACATTACTCCTGAGGGAGTTCTGCACCAAAAAATTAAAAATTCTGCACACAATATTTTAAAATTCTGCAAAATTCTGCAAATGTTATTTGTCAAAATAACACTATATAATCATGCCAGTTTCAATTATTCTGGTAATTTATTTCAGAATACCTGTCAGCCAGTAGGTCTGTAACAAAACAGACACGCACGAAAATTCCCCCAGGAGTAGAGAGTTAAAAAACCCCTTATGACAACCCAGTTCCTGTTTCTCTGGCTCCTCCTCCCCAGAGCCCCATCAGGTGGCCAGACACTCACACCTCTACCCCCAAGAGCCCAGCCATTCCCCCGCCCCCCCACATCCAGACACTCACACCCCTACCCCCCAGAGGCCAGCCATTGGGCCCCCTTGGCCCAGACTGGGCTCTGAGGGGGGAGAGGGTGTGAGTCTCCCCTTTCTCCCACCCCCCCCGAGCCTAGCCGTCCCATCCCCACCCCCGCTCAGACACTCACAGACCCTACCCTCCTCGAGCCCAGGGATCCAGAGGGAGAAACAGCCTGATGCTGGGTCCTGGGCTTGCAAGGAGTTTCCTGCACACCACCTCCTTCCTTCAGAGTACGCTCGGAATTGCAGCTGCTGGGAACCCTCCAGTTTCCTCCCTCTGTCCCAGGCCTTTTCTTCTATTTGCGAACTGGGCGCTGCCGGGTTCAACAGCCCCTAGTGGTGGCCAACATCTCT